AAAAGAAAAAAAAAAAAAAAATATCGATAGAGGAGGACGTAGCCGAATCCTTGCGGGGTGAAGTTAAAGCGAGAGCCAGGCCCGGTCTAAAAAAAGGCTCCCTCCCTTCTCTGTTTACATCCAGGACAAAAGGCAGGGGATTAGGCAGCTCCATAGAAGCCCCGGTGCTGGCCAACCGTTAAATGTAAGACGGTAAGGAGATTTTATTTTAAGTCACCTCTAGGGCACAATTAAGCCTAAAGTTTCCTATTCTATCGCCGAGCTTTCACCTCGGGAACGCGGCGTACGCCGAGAGCTCGGCGAGGGCAAAAGGCTCGGGGATCGGCGCCGGCTTGCGGGACAAGCGGAGCGGGGAGTTAAAAGCCATTTCTTTTCAAAGGGGAGACTCTTGTCGTTTGGCCGAGCGGCTTCCATCGGGTTTAAGCAGGTGGCCAGCAGCAGAGAGCTGAGCAAGGGGGCTGGTTAGCACGGGTTAAAGCCACCCCAAAAAAAAAAGGCTTCACGGTTTGAGCCCCTGACCTTGGCGGCACAAGTGACGCGTCGGATAGGGCGGATCGAGGGGAGAGAGCTGCGGAGTCGCCCGGGTGCTGCAGGCAGCAAAGCCGCAAGCTCGATTTTTTAATGTTCCCCCCCGATATAAGAGGGAGAACCGCGAACGTTTCTGCTTTCGGAAGCCAGCCGCGGGGAGGAGTGAGGCTGATGGGACTGAAGAACAAAAAAAACCACCCAAACCCCATGCATTCTTCTTATATTCTTATTTTTAAGGTGGTTTTAAAAGCAAACCTCTAGCAGCAGGAGATAAAGTTCCAGTTCAGGAACACGTTGTCTCCAAACTAAAGACCCAGCCCTGGGTACATTTATATGCAAGTACTTCCACCAGACTTAACAGTTAAAAGAAAAATAAATTAATATTTAGAGTAAATATTTCTCTAAAAAACTACTGAATGGACCTGAAAATAATGACTTAATTGAGGGGTTTTTTTTTTTTTTTTTAAAAAAAATTAAATAAAATAACAAACGGCATTTCGTTTTGATGACAAAAGGCGAGCATTTTTTAAATCCTCGGTAAAGCAGCAATAGAGGGTGGT